AAGTCTCAAAAACTCACAAAAAGTCATGTATCAAATATGATACGCTTGACTTTAAAAGAGTAGAGGATGTCTAACGTTTGCCCTTCTGTCACCATAGCAACAGATTACTCGCCAATTAAAATCCGTGTCGCTACGTTTTTAAAGTTTTTAAAGAAGCTAAGCGCATGTCTATAGATGGGAGAATAACACTGAGTATTGCAGCTATATTAGTCTTAAAACTGGATAATCTTAGAAACATTTATTTTCCGTTGCCTGGACTTTGTTAACGGCAGATCATGGTAAGTCTATATGTTACAGTGAGCACTGACAAGCCACTTTTCATATTGCCTTAGGTGCTAGATCCTGTTTTTTAAATGCAAAAGATATAAAGTCTGTATTTAACGCTAGAAAAAGTCCCTGTATATTCATCCACTGTTGTTTTCAATGCCAGCAGAGACATCCGTCCAGTTCCAGAGCTAGCTCTTTTAGCAGCTGCTACCGCCCACTGAGCCCAAGCTCTCAGGTGGATGATGACGACATCCTCTTTGGGAGCCCAGACCCGGTGAGTGTTACTCTCACAGAGTGAAATGTCACATCTTAACTACACTCACCGGCCAATTTATTAGGTGCAGTTTATTAGCACCGCTTTTTGCCCTCTGAATTACCTTAAATTTTCAACAAGGCGCTGGAAACATTACTCAGATTTTTGCTCCATATTGGCATAATAGCATTACATAGTTACTGCTGATCTATTGACTGTACATCCACCATAAGAATCTCAAAGGTGAGATTTCGTGACTGTGGAGGCATTGGAGTAGAGTGAACTCACTGTCATATTCAAGAAACCAGCCTGAGATGATGTGAGTTTTGTGACATGGTGTGTTATCCTGTTGGAAGCAGCGATTAGAAGATGGTTACACTGTTGTCAATAAGGGGTTGGAGATGGTCAGCAGAACTACTCAGGTGGGCTGTGGCATTTAATTGATGTCCAGACAGTATTAAGGAGACAGAAGTGTACCAAGTGTCTGAGTTGCTGCCAAGTGATTGGCTGATAAGATATTTGGATTAATGAGCAAATGAACCTAATGAAGTGGCCAGTGAGTGGATATTACATATAAGAAAAAAACAACAACCCCAAAAACAAAACTAAAAATACTTGTGTGTTGAGTTCACTAATTATGGTGCTATTTTGTGGGTTTTTATCAACTAACAACTGCTCAGATATCATCACAGCTTTGTGAAGACGATCCTTGTGAGGAAGCTCCGTCAAAGATCAAAAAAGACAAAGACACCATTCAAATCATTTCTAAAGACCTCATCCGCAATCTCAGGTAGTCCCAAACCTGTTGAGTTTCTCTGCTGGTTTAATAATCACATAATGCACATTTTTAAAACATGAAATGGAAGCGATTTGATTACATTTAATATGAATTAAAAAAAACCAATGGTGCATCTAACAGTTATCCATTAATGTATGACCTGGTATCGTTTCAAGTGATTTAGAGAGATGATTAGATTTTTTAAAACAAATGTCACGATGATAATGATGTTTTAACCCAAAATGGACCTCCTCACCACAACATAATTCCTCCTGTCGTTATGCCAGAATCCCACTTAACAGTCCTTCAGGAAAGTCAGTCTTTCTCCCGTCAGCTAAGTATAAACGCATCATTTTAGCATCCCAGGCTAACCTCAAGGAGGAGAGAGAGGCTTTTCACCAGGCTTATCAGAGAAAGGAGGGAGAGGAAACGGTAGGATTCATGGCTCTGATGATGTTTTCTTGGACATTAACACAAGAGGCTCGTTCCTGTGATTTTGCAATATGATATCTACCGTATATGATGGCTCCCCAGAAAGCCGCAGAGGAAAGGAAGCAGCAGATCCAGGCAGCAGATCTGTCCCGTAAGAACAACAAGGCCCTGACTGAGCTCGAGCGAGAGGCCCGGAAACGTTCACAGGACTTGCTGGAGCAGTCTAACGCTTTAAGGATGGAGCAAGAAGAGGAAATCAAAAGGCTGAACAGGGTAGGAATTGGCTGGGAGTATGTGGATGAAGAAAACAAAGGCGGTGTCAATTCACACACATATAAATGCTTCTGTTTTTGTCACTCCCTCAGCTTATTCTGAATGCTCAATGTCAAGCCACAATCAATGCTCAGCTGGAGGAGAAGAAGCAGATCCAGGCAGAGATGGAAGAGGAGGGGAGGCGCCTGGATGCGGTAATGGAGGCAGAGCGCCAAAAGGGTCTGGAGACTGAAAGGAAGATCGACGAGCTGAGGAAACAGCACAGGAACGAGTAAAGAGAGCACCTTTTTTTTCTTCACCAAATGCTTTATATATTCTTAAAATAACTCCAAGGATGGGAAGACGTTAAATTATGCACTTTATCTGATCCAAAAAGGAGGCCATTAGGAGATCTGTCACTCTGTTTGTGTGTGTTACATTTTAGAGGAAGAGCGCAACTTTTAGAACAAATTCAGAAACATCTAGAGGAAAAGGAAAATGAGAGAAAGATGAGAGAGCAAGAGAAACAGCAAATAAAGGAGAACCAGAAGAAGATGGAAAAGGATGACCTCAAGGTGCACACACGGCCCATGTGCAGACTTAAACTCACTAACGTGAACACAGTGCAGTGTACGGGAGTCAGTTTCATCTCTGACCGGCTGCTTTGTTCCAGGCTAAAGAGAAGAATAGGATGGAGCAGCAGCGTATGCAGGAGGAGATCATGCGCATCAATGCTGAGACCCTCCGAGTCAAGGAGCAGAGGATGAAGGAAGAGAAGCTGGCGGACATTAAAGCCATGGAATACATTAAAAAGAAACAGGTCAGCTGGAAAAGCAACTGAACTCTGTAGATCGGCCACAGATGTTTGTTCTCTGCTGATATTTTATTGTTTTTGCAGGCAATGGACGCGGAACGTGAAGCAGAGCAAAAGCGGATAAGGAAAGAGAAGGAGATGGAGATTGCTAAGCTGAGGGCCCAGCATGAAAAAGATCGAAACTATAAGGCAGAGCAGGTCAGAAATTGTTTTTGAAGCGTTAACCTTATTACAGGTGGATTAATATGACTTTTAACTGTTCTCGGCCACTTGTGCTGGTGTTTCTGCGGATTTTAAAAAGGATGAACTCTGTGCCCATCGGCATCAAGAAGAGTTACAAAAGAAATGGAGGGAGAAAAACAGAGAGCAGGCCGCGAGGAAAGCACAGCAGGAGGCGATGCTGGGGGCTGCTCGGCTGGAGCAAGTTCACAGCAAACAGCACTACCAGACAGTGCAGGCCACCATAAAGAAGGAAGAGTTTGATCGGATGCTGAAGTAAGAAAGTTGGGGGGCTTTTGTTTGTTTTTCCCACCTCAGTGTGCATTTTCTGCACGTTTTTGCATGAAATTGCTATTTTTCCTCCACACAGGGCTCAGAAGGAAGCAGAGGCCAAAGAAAAGGAGCAGCAGGAGAGGCAGCGTCAGAAAGCGCTGCGCCACGCTGAGGCCGTCAGGCAGCAGGTGAATGAGCGCAAGAAGCTTGCCAAAGCTGAGCATAGAGAGAGGTTCGGGGAGGCTGACAAACTGCTGAAGGAAGCCCAGCAGCGACAGATGCTCCTGAATGAGATAAAGGAAAAGAAACTAAAGGAGCTCAGGTAAGCATGAGCAGGTTACTGTAGTAATATTCAGGCATGATTGTCATATATCAGGTTTACTGGATATAATGAATGACCCTAATGTGCATGTCTGTGTGCAGGGTTATAGGGCTTGGTGAAAAATACTGTTGTGAAGTGGAGAGAAAGGCCCAGAGGACTCATTTTGTATAGCTCCATAATTGAAAGAGTAGTTTCAATTACTACTCTAAGTTAAAATATGTAGGATTAAAGTCATATTTCACTCTCAGAGGTGTATGATCATTGGTCTATGCCCTCCAACTCTGGCTCACTGATACAGTTTGTAGGTTTTATTTTTGTGTAATATCTGCATTTGAGTCGTGTCCCGTTCATTCACTGGGAGGTTTTGGGATGGGGGGGACGTTCGCAAGATGGGTGTACAGCCTACACATCTGCATCAACTGTGTGACGCTATCGTGTCAATATTAACCAAGATCTGTGATGTTTCCAGCAACTTGATGAATCTATATTTATCTATACACACATATCTGCCAGTGAGGATTACCAGGATTATGAGACTTTACTAAAATAACTAACATTAGAAAGTCATAACACTGGCCTTAAAACTTAATTACCTTAATTATTAGTTTATTAAAGGGTTCTCCATGAATGATTTTTTATTTTATTTAAAAAACTGTTTATTTTTTAATATCATTACAAACAAGCAGACACACATCCAATACAGAGGCAACAGTATCTCCACACATTTTTCTTCTTTACAGTGACTGTCAGTAATAGAAAACTCTCAATAATGTTATTTAAATAAATAATTTTATTTTAAAAAATACTTAGTGGAATCAGTCTTGTCTCTTCTTATGATAAAAGTACAATTCATTTCCCACGTGCATTCATTCAAAAACGACACTGTTACAGTGCACGAGCACAAAACACTATAGATAAAATCTGACCGTTAATTTTCTATATTGCACTGGCCCGTGCAGAGGTCAGCCACTGCTAATGAATATTAAAGTGGTAAATATCGCTCTAAACAATTACAAAGGCATTTCAAAAGTGTCTCCAGTCTTCATTCTGCCTCAGCGATTCTTCTGAGATTTTTTGGTTTTGTTTCCCTGCTCTGATCTAAAGTCCAGTCTGAGCACAATTGATGCACTGAAATAACTTGCAGTTCTCTAAATAATGACACCGGAGTGGTGGGGAGATACTTTTAAGACGCTTGCGTAAAACTTCTTCCTGCAAAGAGGAAATTATGAGTTTATCAGTTCAAATGTGAAGTAACAGAAGTAGCCTGATAAAAACAGTGACTGCATGGAAACCGCTGCAGTGGTTTAGTTATTGTAGTGTAAGAAAACTAATAAAGAAAATCAAAGAAAAAAAAAACAGAATGAGGAAAGAAGTCTCCTGCAGTACTCACAGTAACAAAAGAGTTGGTTTCTGGAGTGAACTTATACAACATGTACTTTGAGATCTGGCTGGCAGGGGCGAGCACGTGGAGGTGGAGGTGACCTACTGAAATGAAGGGCGGCTGGTGGAATCCCAGCCTGTGGAGAAAAACACATCAGCACTGAAATTCAGCCGCCCAGAGCAGGGATGAAACCCTTACAAACAACAGAGCAACTAGACCCCTCACTCCATGTTAAACTATAATTATATAGATTACATTAGCACGAAGATTACTTATGCAGTTACTTAAAGCAAAAGATTCATCCACCCTCCCTTTAATATCATTTTTTAAGATACACTGTAGCTTTTTTAATTTAATGTTAAAAGTAAGATTTTTACTGAGTTTTGGCTTCGGGCAGCTACAATGCACCCAGCAGAAACTGCAGGATTTTACTTCACACTCGTATTCAAAACTACGGCCAATTTTGGATCGCTGATTAACCTCATATGAGCGTGAACGTGAATGATCGTCCGTCTCTGTGCTTTAGCCCTGTGAGTGGGTGGATGTATGCATGGATGAATGCACGGATGGATGGATGAAAAATGGGTGTCCACTGTAAATGATTCCTGAATGCCCACGAGAGAACTTGAGTTTGCAGACTTTGCCTTTTTACTAGTATGAATATTTTTTCCGGTACTTCCAAGAACCGTCTCCACCAACCTTATATCCGCCATGTCAGTAATCCCTTGGTCGTGGAGCACATCTTTCCCCAGTTTAGCCATCCTTTCAACTATTGGAGACATGATTTCTTATGGGTTATGTGATATAGTTTTGATAATCTCAAATAGTTGGAAAAATAAGAGTATCAGAAGTCTATAGTACCAGCAGTAATAGTCTAGTTTAAAGTATTTAAAGGAAAACTTGCAGCAGTAGTGACGACAGGATAGCCACAGTGTTAGGAGATAGTATGGTAAGTTGACAGAGGACTAACTGACCTAGATCAATGTGTCCTTTGTGCAGTGAGAAGCAGCTGAGTATGTGCTCTCTGGGAACAACCAGGTAGTGGTGAGGCGCACCTGGGAAAATGTCGCTGAAACACACCAGGTCTTTAGTCTGTAGTCGGGGCAGAAAAATGAAAGAGTCATTCAAGCTGTGAATGCAGCACTATCAAGACTCAGTACAGTCTATTTCCCTGGTGGATCAGAAAGTACCGTGTCGAGGCACTCTTCCTAATGGAGGCAGTAGCGCTACTCCAGCTGTGCACATAAAAGAACCAGGAAACCCCGGACACAAACTCCCACTCTGCACAGTACATGAAAAGGTGGCAGTGGGACTCAGTTTTAAAATATACAGCATTATTATTATTGTTATTATTTTACTCACTTTTTCTGAGTAGATACATTATTACACATACCTGATGAATGTCAGACTGACTGAAACACTGAGGCTTAAATGTATTTGCAGTAAGCGAGGCAGCGTGTGGGAATTAGATTTAAATTGTCATGGAACTTTTCCACCTGTCACTCATTCAGGTGTGCGGAGACTTTGAACTATTAATTTAGCTGCACATAGATGAAGAGAAATCCACCACTTAAAACCAGCCTTAAAATCTTTTGATGCTTGGCTACGCTCTTTGCCTCGGCATTGTAAGGGGTCTGCGAGTGTCTTGAAAGGTGCATATAAATAATAAATGTATTATCATTACTTAAGATGTAACCAGTCCTCAACCAAATAAGAAGTCATGCATGGACCTGTGCCTGCGCAGGGACCCTTTAACGTTTTGGTGATTTGCAGGTGTTAAAGCATCTGGATTTAAACAAAGTGCATTTTTAGATTTACACACTTTAGAGTGGACCTGTTGTGCTTTTCTTTATTTTCTGTCACATGACAGGTTTTTACCTGTCTGGGCTGGTGGGTGCTCACATTACAAACAGCCAAAAGAGCCCAGACTGCTCTAAATGCCCTGTTTCACACAGTTTTATTTGTTTTGGCTCAGAGTTGCAAAACAGCTCTCGTCGTGAAATGCCGCCCCCGCGGTTTCCCTGCTGTAGTCTGTTTCTTCTATTAAATAGCTGATTTGCCATACGCTTTAAACTTCATCTGTCTTCAAGTGCTAAAATCTCCAACTAACTATGTGTGTGTTTTTTAATAGTATATCAAAACCTCGGATCCGCAACTTCCGGGTACAGTTTCCTCCTATAACACCTGTATCGCTCTACATGGGATAAAAAAAAAAAAGCATCTCACCTCTTTTATTATCTTTGTGTTTTCGTCTTTTTTGTTCGCTATTAAACAGAAAATACACGTTTCAACATCATTTACATCTGAGTTTGACCAGTTGGTCGCGGTGTCCTCCATGTTGCCTGAGGACTCTGAGGTCTCTCTGTTGTGTTTCCTGAACACTTTCCGAAGATCTTCTATGACGTGCAGAGAGGTTACTCAATGCTTTTCTGAGAACTCTGCCCTCCTAATAAACATTGTGGAAATGAAGGTAGTCGGGCAGGCACTACTATCGTCACTGATTTCTACAGCTGATTCACAAGGTCCCGATTCGATTTTGTTCCATTTTGAGTCAGTCAGAAATATTATAATTTTGTCCATTTATCTTGGATATGTCCTGTCGAAAGAACCCTCTAAGCCTTGTAAATTAAGAATATTTAATTCAAAATTATTTAACTATTTCTCTGCAGTTAGTTTGCACTGAGTTTGTAGGCTGTGTATAAAAAAAATTAAGCTGCCACTTTATCAGATGTGTAAGCATCACAGCAGATGCCTGTGTGTCAAAGTAACAGGATAAAACAGAAAAACTTGGAGATTTTGCTGGCATGGTTTTTTTTATAGTAGATAACACCCTTAAAAATATTCTGCAGTAGATCAAAAACTTAAAGCCAGGAATCCGTATATGGAGATTACCTGATGTTGCTGCAGTGAAGCAGTGTTATTATCCATCCAACCATGCAAAGTAGGATTTTTTGCAATTTTCAGGTGGTCTTAAACTTTTGATCGGGACTATATTTCAACATAATTTTATTTTAATATTCACAATTCTTAAAGAATGTTTAACACAATGTAAATTATGACTGACTTCCAAAAAAGCGGCTTCTGACCTACCAAAATAATTGAGAATTCTTAAACTGCAATCCAAAAAGGTACGACTAAAACAATATGGTTAATATTGTGTTTTAATACATAGTGTGTGATTAGGATGAGAATGAGTCTAAAACATGACACAAGCTTGAAAAGCTCCAAGTGTTTCATCTTCTTTAATAATCACTGATTGTTGAAGAGGTGGAAGATATAAACCACACACTGCCAATATTTTATTTGTATATATTTAACATTTATTTAATTTTAAATGTAGTTGCAGTGACAACACAATAAATAGATCATGATATCACAGAACACAGCAGTTTTGGATTCACAAGAAATAATACTTCACAGCTACAACACTGAACAGCCGACGACAACCAAGCTCAATTCAACATGAAGCGCTAACCAGCGATATAGTGACTAGTACGGCAGGGATCGTTGTCAGTGGTGTCAGATGTTTGCAGTATTGCATATTCATGCACTACAAGCCTGTGTCAGATACAGAGGGCGCAAATGGACATTTTCACCCTGTGTTAGTAGATCTGATTGTTTAGTTAGTGGCATATCAATGTGCAAGGAAAAAAAAAGTATCCCTTTCCCATCCCTTTTTAAGGAGGCTGGACTCCCTCCTATAGTGACATTCAGTAACAATTTTACATTGTAGAAAAGCTTCACGGTACAACACAGCACGGGCCGTCAATTTATCCTGCAGTGCAAAGTGACATCATGTTAAACTTCTACAGGCTGCAAGTCTCTGAACAACACAGACCACAAATAAGAGTCTACATTACTCATTTAGAGGCAGGAATTCAATACTGGCAAAAGTCAACAGAGAGAGAGAGAGAGAGAGAGAAAAGAAAAAAAA